AGTCGAGGGTTTCCAGTCCAGGACAACAGTGTAGGACAACCCTGACCTCACCTCCTCCCGTGTCACATGAACTTTACACCTGCAGACAGAGCAGTTCCCCTTGAAGAAGAAATGAGGGCCAAGGGACCAACACAAACAGGAGAGAAGCCACATAGGAACAGGTAGGAGAGACAGGCACATGGCAGCCTGGGAACCCCACCCCCAGCGCACTGACCTGGAGCTGGAGGGATCACCGAAGGGCATATGTGCAGACTCACCCACTCTGGGGTAAAGGGAGAAACCAGTGGCCTAAAGGTACTGAGACTAAATGGGAAGGCAATCCATTTGCTAACCCTAGAGTGTCTGCCAAGTGGGAGAGGAACTACAGGAACTCTGGTGTCAGAGGCACCAGTCATTCATTGGCACTTGCCCTCCCTTGATCTCATGGGCAGGACACAGTTCAGGTGCTTTAGCCAGCCATCCTTGGTTGTCAGGCCCCAGGCCCACACCAGCTCTGTGGCTCGTCCCCAGGACTCCCCACAGCCCACTCCCGCTCCAGCTCCAGCTCCGGGCCCCTTACCTGCAGGTTTCCGTGTGTCCCACTCCCACTGCAGCTCCAGCTGGCCTGCTAAAGACACCTTTGGAGCACACGGTCTACAAAGGAAAAGCTCCTAAACAGCTCTACTCCTTCAACACTGGGAGACGTTGCTGTTTCACCTAAATCACAGAAACAAACACAGAGAGACAGCCACATTGAGGAAACAGAGAAATGTACCCTAAATAAAGGAACAAGAAAAAGAAAAAAACTAAAAGAAACAAGAGAGAAGCAAATTACAAGACAAAGAGTTAAAGGTAAACACTAGTTATAAGTATGCTCAATGAACTAGGGAGAGAAATAGATGAACTCAGTGAGAACTTCAACAAATACTTAAAACAACCAATCAGAACTTAAAAATGCAATACATGAAAACAAAAATACCCTAGAGGGTATCAATAGCAGATCAGTTGATGCAGAAAAATGAGTCAGCAAGCTGAAAGCCACGGTAGTGAAAATCAATCAGAACAGCAAAAAGAAAAAATAATTTTATTTATTTTATTTATTTTAAATATATATTTTTTTATTTCAGAGAGAGGGAGAGAAAGATAGAAACATCAATGATGAGAAAGTCATTGATTGGCTGCCTCCTGCATGCCCCCACTGGGGATCAAGCCTGCAACCCCAGCATGTGCCCTGACTGGGAATCGAACCAGGATCTCCTGGATCCTAGGTCGATGCTCCACTGCTGAGCTATGCCTGGCCGGTCAAGAATTTTTTTTAATGAAGATAGTTTAAGGGACCTCTGAGACAACATCAGGTGTACCAACATTTGAATCATAGGGGTCCCAGAAGGAGGAGAGAGAGAGAAAGGGATGTAAAACCTAACTAAAGAAATAACAGCTGAAAACTTCCCGTAACCTGGTGAAGAAAACAGACATCCAAATCCAGGAAGCACAGAGAGTTCCCAACAAGATGAGCCCAAAGAGCCCCACACCAAGACACATCATATTTAAAATGCCAAAAGTTAAAGAGTCATAATGACAGCAGGAGAAAAAGCATTTAGTTATGTACAAGGGATCCTTCATAAGGCCATCAGCTGATTTTTTCACTAGATACTTTTCAGGTCAGAAGGGAATGGCACCAAATAGTCAAAGTGATGAATATCTACAACCATGATTACCCAGAAAAGTTAGCATTCAGAATTAAAGGTGAGATAACGAGTTTCCCAGACAAGCAAAAGCTAAAAGAATTCATCACTACTAAACAAGCTTTAAAAGAAATGTTAAAGGAACTCCTTTTAATGGAAAAGACCAAAACTAAAACTAAGAAAATATTGGAAAGAGAAAATTTTCACTGATAAAAGCAAACATTTGTAAATGTTGTGGATCAACCCATTATAAAGCTAGTAGGAAGATTAAAACACAAGAGTAGTAAAAGCGTGTGTAACTACAGTAATAAATTAATGGACACACGCAAAAGAAGTCAAGTAGGATGTCAAAAACACAGATGTGGGGGTGAGTAAAAAATGTAGTAGCTTTAGAAAGCATTTGAACTGAAACAACAATCCACTTAAAATGCACTGCTATAAACATAGCTTGTTATATATGAATATTATGGCAACCAAAAACTTAAAACTTATTACAGATCCAGTTAAAAATAAAGAAAAAGAACCCAAACAAAACACTAACAAAGTCATCAAGTACCAGGAAAGAGAGCAAAAGAAGAAGAAAGTAACAGAAAAGAACTACAAAAGCAACCAGAAAACAATTAATAAAATGGCAATAAGTACATACCTATCAATAATTACTTTAAATGTAAATGGTCTAAATATTCCAATCAAAAGACAGAGTGATTGGCTGGATTTAAAAACAAGACCTGAGTGTATGCTGCCTATAGGAGACCCACTTCAGTTTGAAAGACACGTACAGACAAAAAGTATAGGGACGGAAATAGGTATTTCATGTGAATGAAAATGAAAAGAAAGCTGCAGTAGCAATAGTTGTATCAGACAAAACAGACTTTAAAACAAAGAGTATAACAAGGGACAAAGAAGGGCATTACATAATGATAAATGGGTCAATCTAACCAAAGAATATAACACTTGTAAACGTCCATGCACCAAACATTAAGAGCACCTCAATATTTAAAGCAAATATTAGTAGGCATAAAGGTAGAGTTGACTGTAACACAATAATAGTAGGGAACTTTAACACTCCACTTACATCAATGGATAAATTATTCAGACAGAAAATCAACAGGGAAACGATGGTCTTAAATGACAAACTAGAGTAGATGCACTTAACAGATACTTACAGAACATTCCACCCGGAATCAGCAGAATACACATTATTTTCAATTACTCATAGGCCATTTTCCAGCACAGACCACATGTTAGGCCACAAAACAAGTCTGAATAAATTTTTTTAAAAATTGAAATCATATCAATTTTCTCCAATCACAACAGTATGAAACTAGAAATAAATAACAAAAACAAAACTGGAAAAAACAAAAACACATGGAGGCTAAACAACATGGTACTAAACAATTAATGAGTTAATAAATAAATCAAGGAGTAAATAAAAAAATATCTTGAAACAAATTAGAATGAAAACACAACAATCCAAAATCTTTGAGACCCAGCAAAAGCAGTTCCAAGGGGGAAATTCAAAGCAATACAGGCCTAATTAAAAAAAAAACACACACACAAAAACACACAAGGAAAACCTCAAATAAACAGTCTAGACTTACACCTAAATAACTAGAAAAAGAAGAACAAAGAAAGCTCAAACTGAAATAATAAAATAATAAAATCAGAGCAGAAATAATAAAATCAGAGCAGAAATAAATAAAGACTAAGAAGACAATAGCAAATATCAATGAAACTAGGAACTGGTTCTTTGAAAAGATAAACAAAACAGATAAAACTTTAGCCAGACACATTAAGAAAAAAAGAGAGAGGGTCCAAGTAAATAAAATCAGACATAAAAAAGAAATGACAAGCAACACCACAGAAATACAAAGGATTATAAGAAAATACTATGAACAATTATATGTCAACATATTGGATAACCTAGGAGAAATTAATAAATTCCTAGAAACATATAATCTTCCAAGACTGAATCAGGAAGAAACAAAAAAATCTGAATAGACTGATTTCTAGAGAAAAAACTGAATCAGAAAAAAAAAACTCCCAACAAACAAAAGTCCAGGGCCAAATGGCCTCACAGGTAAATTTGCTAAGCATTCAAAGAAGAATTGATACCTATCATTCTCAAACTATTCCAAAAAATTGAAGAAGAGGGAAAGCTTCTAAAGGTATTTTATGAGGCCAGCATTACTCTCATATCAAAACCAAAGACACCACCAAAGGAGGAGGA